CTCTCCTGGTGTGTGGCAAGTCTGTCCCCATTTTCCTCCCACAAGAACCACCTTGTGAGCACAGTTCCTTCTTGCCAAGCCAGCTGACACATTCCGCAGGCTCCTGACTTTGCCAGGGAAGCAACAGCAGCAAAGTCCAAGCCCACTTCCCCTGAGGCTGCAATTGCCCTGGTGTGCGCATGGGCGGGGAAAAGGTGGGGAGGAGATATGTGCATGCTCTGTGTGAGAGGGGGATTTGAAGACTCAGCGCTGAACACATTTGTGTTGCTTCTTCAGGATCTCACAGCTGAAAGTGTAACCAATGGCGATCATTTGCTTCTTCCATCTCAGCCAGAGGAGTGGAAAAGTGATGCTCAAATCCAAAGTTAGAGTTGGGATCAGGACCCTGAGCTGTGTGACATCAAGCAAGTTGCTTAACCTTTTTGTGTATCATTTTCCTCCTCTTTCCCTCATTGAGCCATTCTGAAGGCTAAATGCATGTTTGTAAAGCAGTCAGCAAGGGGTCTGCAGGATAGTAAATGCTGAAAAGAAGCAGAGTTGCTTGGCCTGTATGCAGCAGCCGGGTCCCTTCATCTCAGTTTCCATGTCTATAAAGTGGGCAACTGACAGGCGCAGCCCCAATGAAACAGGAGACGCTTTTGTGGGCGACAGTTAACTGCTGGTTTATTTACGCGGGCTCTGGTTTATATATTTGGCCGTGACCAGTCACAGGCTGCCACGAGGAAGCAGGGCGGGAATGGGATGCAGGCTCTGGCTACTATATCCAGCTGTGGCCAATCAGGAGTTGCCACAGAGTATGGAGTGAGCACGAAGTGCGCACAGGTTGGCTAATTTAAAGAGGGATGTAGCGCATTGCGGAAGCTGGCGTGGTCCTTAGTCCCGGGTGGGGTATGGTATGTTGAGCGCCTGCGCCCAACAGGCAACAGCTGAATTTAGCAATTGCTTGAAACTGGAAAATGAAATGAAAACTCAGAAATTGCCCTTTGGGTTGAACTCTCCCCATTTTCCTGGAATTTAAGGTATTTGGCAATTGTTAGTACACAAATCCAGAGGACAGGCATCTCTTTCTCCTCCCTAGACTCCCAAATTCTGAGTGCCTGGCGGAAGGTCCTGGGAATCACCAGGAGACCTTGTGGCTCCAAAGCCTCTGAGCCCTGATCTTGGAGTCTGGCTGGGGAGAAGTGATAGAGGGTACAATAGAATCTGTGTCCTTAATACAATTCCCTAATGGCTCCACTGCAGGAAACTAGAGACTAGGCACTCTGCTGAAAATTATTCCCAAAGCCCCTGGAAAAAGTCCTTCTAGAATCATGTCACCATTTTTCTTCTCCTCCATCTGAAGACCCTGAGAATTGGAAGAATGAATTTCCCCAAACCTCTCCATCTCTCACTCCCTCTGATTTAGCAAAGTTGAGCTCTGTGTCAGTTTCCAATCACCAGAACTGTTCTTGGAACCAAGACAACTTTTTGCAGACACCTCTCCCTAGAGGCACAGTCTGATCTGCATGAAAGCCCTCCCAGGACCTGGCCTTGAAGGGTCCACCCTGCTGACAATGGGACAAAGAGGCATCTGTGTGCTAAGTGTCCAGGAAGCAGAGAGCCCCCAGAGCCAGCATCTTCATCACTGCATCCAATACCAGGTTGGCCCAGTGGGTGCTACTGGGTGTACGCTGGAGATGGAGAAAGACTGAGGAGGAGTGGCTTGTCAGGCAGCGTTATTCCAACAACAGCTACTGTGGTAGTTTACCAGGAGCAATCTAATTTTTCAGAGGCTCTGGAAGCCAGCTTTCAAACATCACTGATTTTTTTTTGCCTGGGGTCAATCATCAAGAATCTGGTTCTAAGGTCTCAAATCATTCCAGTACCATCTTCCTCCCAATCAACTATGATCCTCATGAACACATACCTGCCCTTTCTCTGACTCACTCATCAAAAGGCAACCACAATAACCTCTCACAGGCCTGGGGTGTTTATGTGAATCATTCATCGACTAAAATGTCCCATATATTTGTCACCACAATCTTATCAAATAGGAATTTAGATTATACCCTCTCCCTCTTTTGTGGTCCTGGAGATGGAACCCAAGGGTGCTCTACCACTGAGCTACATCCCCAGCCCTTTTTATTTATTGTTGTTTTTTAAATTTTGAAACAGGGCCTCACTAAGTTGCCCAGGTGGGACTCAAACTTGTGATTCCTCTGCCCCAGCCTTAGATTACCTCAGGATAAGCATAAGGAAATTAAGAAATTTCCTGTCAATGTTGCAGCTGGTTAGTGGTGGTGCCAAGCTTCTAGCTTCTAGCTTCTAGCTTGGATCTCCAAGCCCAAGTTCCTAACCACAGTGCAAAGCAGCCCCCAGCCCCGGTGCCATCCCCCATCCCTGGAGAAGCCCCTGGCTTCACGGAACAGCCCCTGCTCCAAGCCCTTTCTGCACACCCAGGGCCGCACTCCAATTTGCAGGCTTGCTTCCCACTTGTGAATGTACTCAGGCCCTGCTGCCTGGAGTTAATTATTCTAAAAAGACATTTGGAAACTCAGCTCTGCTAGGTCTAGTGTGTTCTCTTTTGGTAATTTAATAATCTTGTTTTTAAACTGTGATTTTAAAACTTGGTGATTACTCTGCAGATATTTTCCCATCTTTTTCTTTTTTGATCCCAAACCTGTGGATTTTGGAGCTGAGAGCCATGACTGATGATCCGGTTGTGTGCTCACAAATGCAAGGTTTTAGTGTGCCCAGGCTCAGCAGTGAGATAGGAGGTAGGGGGTGGAGTGTGTGCAGAAGGCCAAATCCAAAATCCTGAAAAATCAAACATACTAGATCGTTGGAAGAAGAGGCAGCTTATGCACTATTTGTGCGTTTGGGTTACCAAATGCTGAGTGGTCCTGTTTGGATAGTGGACGCCCCCCAACCAATTCCTTACCCTAGCACTGAGGATTAAACCCAAAGATGCTCTGCCCTTGAGGTATATACTTGGCCCTTTTTATTTATTTTACTCTTTTGTTTTGAAACAGGGTTTTGCTAAGCTGCCCAGGTTGGCCTCCTGCTCAGCCTCTGAATATGAGGATTGCAGAAGATTGTTCCACTTTGCTCAGCTAGGGTGGTGGATTTTAAGTGAATTTTTATATTTATCTTCTGTTGTTTTTAATTTACAAAAGTATGTATAATTCTAATAATAAAATAAGAGTAAAAATTTCTTATTAAAAATCAAGTTCATTCAATAATTTGAATCCAGTCCAGGCAAAGCCTCAAACAAGTCTGTCTTTATGAACTTGTTATATGAATGTTTATGAACTAATTAAACGCACTCACAAATAGACCCCTCAGATAATGAGTAGAACTCTGCAAAAAAGGGGAAACAGGATCTAGGCTAATGATTATATTCATAAAATTATTTTATGTATTTTATTTTTTTGTCTTTTTCCTTTTTATTGGTACAAGGGATCGAACTCGTAACTGCCTGCTTGCAAGGCAGGCGCTTATGCCACTGAGCTAAATCCCCAGCCCCTTATTTTATTATTTTAGAAAGTGGAATAGAACTTGAGTTTTAAAAAAAAATTATTAACTTAATGGTTTGTTAAATTTTAGCTATTATTTTTGTTTACCCTTGGGCACAAATTGACTTAAATTTGTAAGTGGACTGTAGAGTGGATTTGATTTTATATGTTTTTCATTCAACAAATGTGGATTGAGCTGTGCCCTGTGCTAGGGCAAGTTGTCTCCCAGGTCTGTAGGATTCCAAAAGGAAGGAGGGTGAAATCTGAAATTTCAGTATCCAGCTGGAGGCCCTAAGAGGAGAACCTACTTCTTTACTTTCCAGCTTCCCGAAGCCTCCTGTATTCCTCGGCTGTGGCTCCTTCCAGCAAAGGGACTCCAGCCTCTCTGCTTCGGTCACCGCATCCCCTTCCGTCCCTCTCCTTGCTCACCGCATTGCCTGACTGCAGCCCTCGTGCCTCCCTCTTCCAAGAGCCCTGATGCTTCTATTCAGCCTACTCCATAACCCAGGATAATCCCCGTCTCAAGAGCCTAACCAAACTGCACCTGCAAGTCCTTTTGCCATTTAAACTGATAAAAGTACAGTTCCAAGGGTTAGCATGTGGGCACTGGGGGAGGTCAGTGATTTGTTATCACATTTGCTTCCAGAAATGCAGAAGCACACAAGTGCAAGACTGTGGATGCAGAGACTTCAAATACCGGATGCAGGCAGCTTAACGTTGACTGCAGATTCTAGATGAACAACAGAGCAGTCAGTTCCAGAATACAACATAACCATAAAAAGAATGAGGCAGATGATGTGCATGTTCATGTTGTAAATTTACATGAGACACAAATTTTAGAAATTCATAGTTCATTTGTTCAACAAATATCACCCATGCCTACGTATGCCAGGAGCTGGGAATATAGCAGTAAACTAGACAGAAATTTGTATTTCCTTTTTTTGTATAAAAACTATCTATAGAAATATATGCATGTGTGGAAAAAAAGTCTTATCTGGAGAGTAAACATTAAATTGTTAACAGTGAATACTTCAGGAGAGTAGGGAATGAAAATGGTAAGGATTTGGCCTTACATTGTTTTATCTTTTCAACAAACATATTATTTCTGCTTAAAAACGAAAATAAACTATGGTACAGTTATCAGGAAGAATTATCTGGTATCACCTCCTATTTAATGATATAACTGTACTATCCGCAAAAAAAGAAGGAAGGAAGGAAGCAAAGCAGCGAGGAGAAAGGAGAGAATCAAACCAAGAAGGAAGGAAAGGGGAAGAACCAGCTGATAAGCACTAACTTGGAGAAGGGAAGCCTCATGGGGCACTTAGCCAAGGCTGTCTCGGTGCAAAATGTCCCTCCCACCCCCGCAGGAACTGGCAGCTCCTCCCAATGTATTTCTTTTCTTTTTTTGTACCGGTGATGGAACTCACAACCTCAAGCTTACCAGGCAAGCGTTTATGCCACTGAGCTAAATCCCTGGCTAATGTATTTCTTTATATCTTCTTTCAGCACCTGGCCCCGGGGCCTGTACACAGGAGGTGATCAGTGACATACTGCTGACAAGTGGAGCAACCAATGGGAGCACCGGGGAAGGTGTGGATGACGTTTCACCACCCAGAGCTCCTCTTTGACCCCCACTCCCCGCTGTGTTAAGAAGCCACCCAGCCTCAGCTCTGTACAGATTCGAGATTCGATTCGCTTCTCCCGCTTATCACCATTTCTACCCAAATGGGCTACATACTCCCTGCTCTAACCAGGGGTTTTGCCTGAACATCTTGGAGAGGGGAAGATGAATCCCTGAAGATGTAAACAAAGGATGTGTTCATACATACTGGGGGAAGTCAGATTTTCAAAGACATCTAGGAACCAGAGCTGTAGAATGATTTTTCTACATAAACAAATCATGGGATATTAATAATATCTATAGCACAATATTAAGATAAATTTTTAGCTTCCTTTTTTTTTACATAGGCTTTTCTCTTTTTGCCCCAAATTGTGTTGACAACCTAGAATGTCACCATAGGAGAATCTTTAATAACTTGATAAGATCTTTGTGATATATAGTTAACTACAAAAAGCATGTGATTAATGAAAATCTATAACTACATTTTGATAAGAAATTCATACATATGTGTATATGTATCATTAAAGTCTCAAGCAGACTATATATGGTTAACAGTTGTCATTTCCAGGTAGGAATTAATGGATGTTGTTAACTTCATTTCTGATTGTTTATCTGTTTATAAAAATGTTACTTTTGGAAGTAAATACATATTTACTTTTTAGGCAAAAGAAGCCTCTGGGAAGATAATTTAGTAGTAGCCACCAAAACTTTGTAACCTTTATGCCATCAATTCTGTTCTAGTAATGCACTCTACAGAAATCCTTGCACATGAGTCTGAACTTAAATACAGTAACTGCAGCCTTGTAAAAATTTATAAACAACCCAAACACTTCGACTTCGAGGTGAGTGGTTGGATTGGCTATGGCATCTCCATAGTATGGCAAATGCTATTAAAAATAAAAATGAGGAAGGTAGATTTCTGAGAAGACATTTTGTTAGACGAAGTGGGAGGGTAGAGATGAGAATATATGGGTCTAATGCATGTAAAACTAGGTAGGCTGCATGACCTAAGTCATGCAAATCTAAAATGGCAAAGCTAGGATTTGAACGCAGGGGCTCTACAAAATGATCCTGCCAGAAACTACCACTGACATAAAAACTGATGCCTTATTCAAATTTTAAAGGCTCAAATTGGCTTGACGAGCCATCAGTTACACCAGTGGAAGGCAAAGCATAAAGGCCTGTAGAAACCCTCACACACACACACACACACACACACACACACACACACACACCCGCAAAGTTTTATTGTATGCAGTGATCTGGGGATGTGATTTGAGCTGTTTTTCCCTAGATCCACAACAAACCAGGCTGTAATTGATAGCATTCTACAGCTTTGTGTTGGTGCTCTCAATTGTTCATCCAAAAGCTCATTTCCACTGACACCTGTGGAGTTGAAATTCTAGCAGTGCTGCAAAAACCAGAGGATTGAACGCCTATTTGGGTTCTATTTTTATTAAAGCCCCATTAACTTGTTTTTATCAGAGCAATTAAAATGTCGAGGCCTGCTGCTGAGCAAAGCTGAGGAGGAGGCTCTGTATTGTAAGTGGCTGTTCTCAGGCGGGGAGAACAGCCCTTTCTTTTCAAAAGGACCCCGGGGGCTGGATGGAGGCTCAGCTTTATTCTCAGTCCCAAAGTGGGTTTTCTTAGTGGATGATTTAGTAACATCCTCTGCAGCTGGTCTTGAGTTCACTGAGGTTGAGGATAACCTAATTTCCCTTCTTTTCTTGCTTTTTTGCACTAGTAACTTAAAACCAGTTTAAAGTTGCTGCAGGGGAGTATAAATTCCTTTCACACCTTACCCAAGGAAAGGGGAGGCCAAGCGTGGAGTTTCACTGGCAGACTGGAGAGAAGTTTCTGTCCCTCTTTTTGTACCTTGCAGTCAGTTAAACCCATGCAAGCTGGGGCCTGTCCTCTATCCCCGCCTGGGTGGACACAACTGCTGGCTGAGGTTTACCCCGCCACACAAATATGCATCTTGACCCAGGCACTTTCTGGAACTGAACAGCTTGCAATTCAGGGCTATTAATGGAGCATTTGTTACTGTGCAAGTCTTGTGCTTTGTGTTCTGGGGATTTAGTGGCTCTGAGATGCAGTCCTAAAATTGGTAGGCCTAAAATATCCCCTGGTGGCATTGATGCAGGTGCCACACTGAGAATTACTATTATAGGTTTTTGCTTCAGCACTACTGGCCTGCAAGCCCACACTAATACACACATCCCGATTTGAAAAGGCACCGTCCACAGGCTCTCAAGGTCACATATATGGCCCCTGCTGGGCTCATGCTCATGATGATCACATGGAAACCCTCACCTCTTTGGCCATCAGCTCTTGTGTTCACCCCTCAAAGTGTCTGGTCCCTGCTTTTCCTTCCCATACCTCATCCGTTACTTGTCAATGTTCCTGCCATCCAGGTCTGCAATCAGTCCTCAGAACAGGCCAAGCCACAGGCTTCTCACCTTTTCTGGCCCCAGTACCTTGGCACTTGCTACCCTGGCAATGTCCTTCCCTGCTCCTTGACTTTACCTAACCAGCACTGCATCCTTCCTCAGAGAAACTTCCTAAACTCATCATCTAAAGAAGGTCCTGTTGGGAGCCGCAGCCCCGAGCCCGGTCGCCTCACTTGGCGGACGTGAGGCCTGTAGTAAAGAGTAAAGCCTGAGGTAGATTACCCCTCCCATCGAGCACGTTAGTTTCCTGCTTACCGCGTAAGCAACCCGCTCAACAATATAGTCTGCCTGGCAACTGATGATGTTAGCCAATCAGCTTGCCTTGCTCACTTTAACATGATTGGACACTGTATCCGTATATATACTGGTGCCACCCTGGGGGGGAAGAAGAAGCCCGGAAGTAGAAGCCCAGAAGGAGCCGCGGGGAGCGGACCAAAGGAGGCTTCGGCTGGGAGCGATCCCAGGGCAGGCTGTACGGAGAAGAAAAATAAAAGAAAAGGTTGTCCACTGCCAGACTTTGTCGTGTGTCCTTCCTGCCGGCCGGGAGCGACATCGACATTTGGAGGCCCGCACGGGGACTGATCACCCCCGAGACGTGACAGCGGACAACGCTCCAGTACAGAGCTGCGAGACAGGTGAGTTGGGGATAAGCCTGGGCTCTGGGTGGCGCGCACCTACAGGGCTTTTAGACTCCCCTCAGGCTCACGCGTAAGTGGCGGATTCCTTGGGCCTCACGCGGTGAGTAACATATTAAAAAATGGGAAACATGCTAGGTAGTAACATTAAGAGCGAGGGTGGTTGTGGAGAAAGCTCTCAAGAGCTTACAAAAGTACGCAGGGTATTTGAGCAGGCCCAGTCAGGGAGCTCCCGAGAGGGGCCCGTCAAGGGGAACAAAGATGCTAAGGAGAAGGACGGGGCTCTAGCCTCGGAGTCGTCTGACTCCGAGGACGAGGGAAAGTTGAATGGCAAGGAGGCCAAAGAGACCAGCTGTCAGGAGCCTAAGTCGCTCGATAAGGAGTCGCAGGGTTCTTTCCCAGCGTTGCGCCGTGAATTGCGCTCCGCTCAACTTGGTCTGCGGAGGAGTAGGGAGCTCCTGAGCGCTCCCCGGTGCGAGAGGGAGGCGAAGCCTTCCGCCCCACCTTGGGGGCTGTTCCCGGAAGCGATCCCTCGCCACGAGGCGGCCGCCCGGGAGCTCCCTTCCCCTTCGCCAGAACAGGAAGTGATGCACGGGCCCCCATTTTCCGCCCAATCACGGCCGCCGTCTTATGCTCCGCCGCCGGCGGGTCGGTATTTTTACAGGCGGCTTTGGCAGGGGGGACGTTTGTCTCATGAGGTACATCCACCACCTGGGATAGATAGTGGCCCCTACGGGATATTTCCTGTACAAGTAGCTATGGGCCAGGGACGTAATGCATGGGAGCCTTTTGAGATAAAGCAGATTAGAGAACTTAAAAATGCAGTTACAACCTTTGGGCCGACTGCGCCTTACACCATTGCCATGCTGGAGAACCTGTCTTCTGGGCCCCTCACCCCCGCGGACTGGATTCAGCTGGCAAAGGCGTGTCTGCCCTCGGGTAGTTACCTGGATTGGCGAGCCTGGTACGCAGAGTTCTCTGCAGAGCAGGCTGAGAGAAACGCCAATCGGGGAAACCGGGGGTGGAACAAGGAAATGCTTATGGGAGAAGGTCGGCACGCTGATGATCAGACTCAGTTCCCCGGCGCTGTCTATGAACAAATCAATGCCATAGGGCTCCGCGCCTGGAAGCAGGTAAGTGGTGCCGGAACAGCCTCCTTGTGTCTTTCAAAAATAATTCAGGGTACCACAGAGCCATTTGTTGACTTTGTGGCCCGAATGCAAGATGCTGCCGATAAGATATTTTCTGATCCGGGAGTGGCTCGACCGCTGGTAAGGCAGCTGATTTTCGAGCAATGTACAAAGGAGTGCAAGGCAGCGATAGCCCCTCATAAGAACAAGGACCTCAACACCTGGATTAGGATATGCAGAGAGATGGGGGGCCGCTCTCCAACTCGGGAGTGGCTGCTCTCCTGGCCGCGGCTGTACAGCAGAGGGGACCTCGCGGGTTAGAAGGGGAATGTAAGGCTAAAGGGTGTTTTGCCTGCGGGGAGCCAGGACACATTAAACGTCATTGCCCAAACAATGCAGATGCTAGGCCTCGCCCTAGGAATGAAGAACCATATGTTTGTGGGCGATGCAAGAGGGGATCACACAAAGCTGAGGAGTGTAGGTCGGTCTTTGACGCTCAGGGCAACCGTATTTGTGGACGAGATGCTAGAGAGCCAAAAAACGGCCAGAGGGGGCCCCCTTCACAGGCGGGCCCCCGCCCCAGAGACAGGACAGCTCAGGATGGCAGCCTTCAACAAGGGCCACCCCTGGGTCAGCAGGTGTGGACCTCAGTGTCGCCTCCAGACTTATATTAGTGCCTGATATGGGTGTTCAAGTGGTTGAAACCACCTTTAAGGGACCGTTACCCGAAAATTCCGTGGGTCTGGTGATCGGGAGATCCTCCACGGCCCTTCGGGGTCTCATAGTAGTCCCGGGGGTCATAGACTCAGACTACACAGGACACATTAAAATTATGGTTCAATCTCTTGTGGGTACTATGGTAATCAATAAAGGAGACAAGATAGCGCAGCTCTTGCTGCTCCCCAGTCTCCACAGGAGATTTCCCTCAAAGCAGAAAATTAGAGAAAGTCAAGGTTTCGGTTCCTCAGGGGAAGTCTTCGAGGGACTCCATATAATACTTGATAAAAGGCCCATGCTCTCACTTAAGGTCAACGGCAAGAGTATAACAGGGCTCCTAGACACAGGAGCTGACCGTTCCATTATCTCTAGAAAGGATTGGCCCTCCAACTGGCCCACCAACACTGCAGATAACACGCTGCAGGGCCTGGGGATGGTGTCAGCTCCTCAGGTTAGTGCTTCAACCCTGCTCTGGTGCGATGAGGAGGGTCATCAGGGCCATTTCCAACCATTTGTGTTGCAGTTGCCAGTGTCTCTATGGGGAAGGGACATCCTCACTCAGATGGATGTCACGCTTACGTCAAACTGCTCCCCCCAGGCTAAGGATATACTCAGGAACCAGGGATATACCCCCGGCAAAGGCTTGGGCAATGCCCTACAGGGTCGGACATCCCCAATACCAGTAGAGAACAAAAAAGGTAGGCAAGGGCTGGGTTTTTCTTAGGGGCCGCTGAAGAAGCTCTCCTACCCACTTCGATCAAAATCACCTAGAGGTCAAATGATCCGGTTTGGGTACCTCAGTGGCCCCTGCCTAAGGAGAAGCTATTAGCCTTGTCAGAAATAGTCAGTACACAACTTAGATTAGGACACATTAAGCCGTCAACCTCCCCATGGAACACCCCCATTTTTATAATTAAGAAAAAGTCTGGCAAGTGGAGGCTGCTCCATGATCTAAGGGCGGTCAACGCGCAGATGCAGTCCC